TGGAGTCGGCTACTCCAACCGGCTTGGGTTGGTGTGGGACTTATGTAAGTGATCAATCAATCAATCAATCAGCATCAACATCAACATCCAAATCCTTTAGAGAAGAGGATCAATCCAATATCTTATCTTATCATCAGAACTTTTAAATCAATCAATCAACCAATCAATCCATCAATTAATCAATCAATGAACTGATATTCTTATACCAGTCTTATCTTATCATCTTGACTATCACTATCAATCTTGTCTTATCATCTTAACTTCTCATTAGTTGATACATCATTACTCTTTGCAAAGGAACTACTTAAGCTTCATCCTTCATTCTGGTTGACCAATGATCATGACACTATCAATAAATCCTCATCAATATGTGTTCAGGAAGATTAGGCCTATTTCTCACAGTCCAACAAGAACATCAGATGAGCTACTAGACCTTAGGCAAGATGAATCATTTAGATGTATACCATCATAATACAAGGAAGAATTCAAATGAATAATCAGTTCATCCTTCCCAGCTAGGACGGATCAGACTAAACACAAACAAACCAAAGTTGCCCTCCAATATATATGTGCGATTTGTGGATATGGTTTCCAAATATGTAAGTTGAATTCATTTTTCTTCCTTTCCTTCACAGATTACCATCATCATCAAAGTACTGATTAGAATGCTGTCACATATTAGAAGAAGGAGCATATGAAGGGGGGTGATTGAATTCTTGTGTTTCTTATTGCTGCTGAAAGGAAATATCCTTAAGTTGAAACTTTCAGTCTGTCAGAGAGGTTCAATAAATCACGTGTAATTTTGAATATGTTTTTTATTCACAGGTGGAGATTTTCTTAAGCAACAAGAGAATTTGCTGCCAAAGTAAGCCAATCTTATTCTTTTTAATTTGACATTCTTACGGATACCACCTGATCTGGTGTTTCATCTCAAATCTAGCTTATTCTGGTCCCTTACGTCTACTGGAGACAAAACTTTTCCTCAATCAACTCCAAATCTCAACAAATTACATGTTTAAAAAAGAATCTAGTCCCTTTTCAATCAATCATCTCTACTCGTATTCAGATAATCAACCTTATAATTTAATACTCAAGTATTTTGATGTGGAAAATTTCATGACCAAGATCTTAAATTTTATTCAAGCTCTAACCTACTCAAATGACATAGTCATGTCTCATAGTTTACATTGTAGATCCACAGTGGCACATTTAATCACTCTATTTTGTTAATTTATTCAAAAATCCCGAAGTAGGAATACCTTATCTCATTCTACCATTTGCAAGGACACCTCAATCTTTAGTCAATTGGACAGATGTTTTGAAAAAGCTTTTACCTACACAGTCAGAAGACCCTACGGAGGAAGATATTCAACTCATGATTATGTTGTTATCTGAACGTACTATCTATTCATCAAGCAATTATCAATTTGATCTCAAACTGATTTTATTAGCAATCTCACAGCTAATCACTGGATACACTTCACTTGGTATTTTATTATCTGTTCACCTCTCTGAAGGTACTTTATTTTCAAATGTGGAGAGTATGAGATCATCTATCAAATCAACTTTTGACAGTGGTATGAAGACATTATATCAACAATCCAGCAGATTTCTTTCCAAGAGGTTGCTCACTAGAATTCTCCGTAGCACAGATTTATTGATTTGTGTTTTAAATTTAAAATTTGATCTCACAGCTCAACCAATTGATCATCATGACATCAGAAAATTGTTCTTTGGTATACAGAAATCATAGTGGATTATGCTGATATCATCCTATCTTCTGATATCAAGTCTGCGAATCAAATCTTGCCCAACTATCTTCAAATCTTGCCCAACTATCCCCATTCTTATCAGAAAGAATGATTCTCAATTCTTGTAAAAATGCGGAAAATGATCTTAAAGGAGCCAATTTATATTCCAAACCTTTCAAATCATCAAAACCATCAAAAAAACCCATTCAGAAGCATTTTGTTCCAATAAAGAATTGAACCAGTAACTTGCTGTTGATCAAGGTTCAAACAAAGTCAAACACCAGTTTGTCTTGGATTTATCATCCTTAGTTGCAAAGAAACTTTCATTTTCACAAATTTCTTGATAAAAATCTTGAAAAAAAGCTTTCAAATGTGATGCTGTTCCACTAAATTTGATATTTTGAAATCTAGGTGTTTGAATGTTTTGCGATGAGTTTGAAAATGCACTAGGTGGCTGATATGGGGATCTTCTTGGAGCCATATCCACATACTGACCATGCTGAGGAATTGGAGTACTTTTAGGGGATACAAAGTGGAATCTGGCCATGCGGCTGGATTTTTGGCCAGATCTCATTTGGCTGTAAATTCAAATCTTGTGGCCAGATCTTTGGCCAGAAAATCTAAGTTTACAGCCAAATGAAATCTGGCCAAAGATCTGGCTGCATGGCCAGATTCAACTTTGTATCCCCTATTTGTTGACGTTCATATCTTGGGTGAGGTTGATTCAATTCAATTGGA